AATTTTCCATCATACAGGAAAATAGCTCACATTTAAAATTTGAACGAAATCGGTTAATAAATACGATTTTTATAAATAACTCTACTCCAGCTCCACCTAGCGAGTTTTATAGTAGCATGTAATTGTACCATATATGTATGTAAGATAACCTCCGACAATATGACGGAACCTCTATTCAGTGTTTTTTGAGTTTATTCCGAACAACGAAAACGGCTATCATTTTATGCAAATAGGTATGTAGATAGGACAGTTTATAGCGAAACTCGTAAAAGCAAAGCTCCATTCTTTGTGAAAAACTTAAAAAAATTCTTCAAAATTTTCACAAAAATTTTACCTTACTGAAAATTAAAGACAAAGTTACAATAGTTCAATGGGATTTATAAATCTAGGAGAAAATGGTTCCCAATCGAGTGATACTTGCGCGTTTACGTAAATGTATATCAACCAGCCTTTCCAATAATTATCACTTTTCGCCATAACTACGGTATTGATAACATATGTAGCTGTGTAGAATTTCAGGACGTTAGCGTAAGCAGTTCCAGACATAAGCTATATGAGAAGTTCAGTTTGCATGGAAGGAAGGAGCCACGCCCCCTTACCCAATGCATTTGCAATATATGCATCAGTGCTAAGTTTCAGTTCCCCAGCGTAATTGGTTTTAGTGATATATTGGTTTTTTACGTTTTAGTCTGTATAAGAATTTTAGGAATATCCCGAGCTAAATACCGAGTAAATTTTTGGTCAGAATATTTATTTTCAACGTGTTGCCAAATATGAACCAAGTCGATGCAGCCGTTTAAAAGTTTAGTGAAATGCATTGTAAAGAGAACTGTATGAAATTGTAAAGCGTGACGTCTCAGTTTCTTAATTTTTTTGGCAGCAACAACGAAAAGTTTAAATTTTTTTTAGCGAAAACCCTTCCACACAGAAAAAATTAAGTTTGTGGTTATATCAAGGCGAAATTTTGAGAACGGTGCGTTGCTAACTCTAAATATAAACAACGACGCACTGGAAAAAGTTAATATGTTCAAATACCTAGGAATAATGATCGACGATAAACTAAAACAAAAAAAAAATGGATTCTATATTTTCAATTAGAGCTCTAGCAAAACTGCATTTAATTCCATACATTAGCTTTTGCGTGATGCGCTTGCAAACATACAGACAAACATACCGAAATTTTAGATTTGGCTTCTTTTGATCTAATAAACCCCCTATTAATTTTTCTTTACCATCTATTATGTACAGATATCGGCCTGTTGCAATTTTATTATTCTCAAGTACTCTCGTTTGATACCCATATGGCAACACTTAGTTTATATAGTAAATTTAACTGAATTAAAGTTTTCAAATAAGTGGCAACCCGCTTCAAGAATATTTTCAAAAGTAAGCTTCCTAATCCTCTTTAGTTTAATATTCGTATTGCAATATTTCATTTATTTTACAAATTTCAATGAATACAATTTTTCAATCAGTTGGCAAATCCCCTAAAAATATTTTCAGGATTAAAATTTCCTATCGTCTTTAGTTTGATGCCAATATTGCAATATTTAATTTATGCTATCAATTATATTAAATTAAACTTTTCAAATAGGTGGCAAACTTCCACAAACATATTTTCAGCTGTAGGCCTTTGTAAATTTCTTTCATTTGACAGCCATATTGCAGTATTCACATTACCGTATCAATTGACCTAAACTGAAATTTTAAACACAGGTGGCAACTCTCAAATTGTTTCTTCTATATTGGAAGCTAAATCTCTAGCGATACAACGGTGAAAACTGCATTCAATTCCATGTTTTCGACTGATGCGCGTACAAATATACAGACAGACAGATATTCAAAAATTCTAAAAATTGTTTATTTGGCTTCTATGGCTTTAATAAAAACCCACCATATTAATTTTTCTTTAATATCTATAAGGTACAGACATCGACCTTTTACAATTTTATTATATGTACAGATATCTAGATGTAGATATAGATTTCATTTATTTTATCAATTTAATACAATAAAACTTTTCAAACAGGTGGCAGCCCTCCCTAAAACCATTTTCGGCAATAAAATCTCCTAAACCCCTTTAGTTTGATACCCATATTGCAATATTCAATTTATCTCATAAATTAAATTAAATTTAAATTTTCAAACAGGTGGCAACTCTAAAAAATATTTTTGGCTGTAAGCCTTCTTCAGCCTCGTTCTTTTGACGCCCATATTGCAATATTCATTTTTTCTTATCATTTTACTTAAACTCCAATTTTCAAACAGGTGGCAACTCTTTAATTTTCTTTTCCTATATTTTAAGTTAGACCTCTAGCAATACATCGGTGAAAACTGCATTCAAATCCATGCATTCGTTTTCGAGTGATGCGCGAACAAACATACAGACAGACAAACAGACACAAAAAATCTGAAAATGGTTGATTTGGCTTCTGGTGCTCTAGAAAAGACCCCCACATTAATTTTTCTTTAATATCTATAATGTACAGACATCGACCTGTTACAATTTTATTATATGTATAGATAAGCAAAAATAGTGATGAACACACATCTTCAGAACTTTCTCTTCTTGTATAGAAAAGTTGTGAACCATAACTAGCTAATCTAATTTGCTTTATTTTTCGGGATATTAATTTTAAATATAAGAATGATTTTGATGATTTTTTTCACGTTTTGTCACACTTTAAGTGTTATACTTAAGCTACACCATTTATTTAAGAAGTTCGGAATAATTCGTAAGAGTATTGTAAACAGGGCTCGGATTTTTATGCAATGTCATCTTTTTTGTAAGGCTTCGGAGGCATTTACTAGATATGTATGTATACAGAAAATCCATTCTTAGGTCCCAGATCCAATAAATGAGAAATTGTGGGTAATATTTTTCCATTTTAATATGAGGGTAATTTTTAAGATTTAAGCTTTAAACTTTTTGGATTTTTTTTTCAAAGTTTTAGCAATTTAAAGGGATTTTTATTTTATTTTTGAAATTCATCATAAATTTTTTTGTGAAATCTTTTTCTAGCAAATTGTTACATGTTTGAAAGTGAAAACCCGTGGCTTTGACCAGACATTTTCAAAAATAATAAATTGAATTTTACAAATGTAATATGAATGAGCGGACACATTGGTTTTTTCCCAAGCTGAATTCTTTGCCAGTTTGAAGACAAATCTATTTATAAAGGGCTGTGGTTAAAAAATGGAAAATATCTTGAGTAGTTGGTTTTTCATGCACCCTAAAAATAACGACAAATTTACTTATTCGGTTTATTCATTTGAATAGGTATATGTATACAGTGAAAAGAGCAGAAAATAAGATTTAATCAAAACAAGTTATTCTTCTTCTTCTTCTTTTTTGGCGCTGTAACCGCCTAAGCGATTTTGGCCGAGTTCAGCAAAGCACGCCAGTCATTTCTCCTCTGTGCCAACTGACGCCAATTGGAAACGCCAAGTGAAGCCAAGTCCTTCTCCACCTGATCTTTCCATCGCAGTGGGGGCCTCCCTCTTCCTCTGCTACCACCAGCGGGTTCCGAGTTGAATACTTTCAGAGCTGGAGCGTCGGTGTCCATTCGAACGACATGACCAAGCCAGCGGAGCCGCTGTATTTTAATTCGCTGCACTATGTCCATATCGTTGTAAAGCTCATACAGCTCATCGTTCCATCGTCTGCGGTACTCGCCGTCGCCAACGCGTAAAGGCCCGTAAATCTTCCGCACAATTTTTCTCTCAAACACTCCAAGAGCCGCCTCATCGGATGTTGTCATTGTCCATGCTTCTGCGCCATATACCAGCACGGGCATGATGAGTGACTTATAAAGCACGGTTTTCGTACGTCGAGAGAGGACTTTACTCCTGAATTGCCTACTCAGTCCAAAGTAGCACTTGTTGGCAAGAGTGATTCTACGTTGGATTTCAATGCTGACATTATTATCGGTGTTAATGCTGGTTCCCAAGTAAACGAAATTCTCTACTTTCTCGAAATTGTAACTGTCAACAGTGACGTGGGTGCCAAGGCGTGAATGTGCTGACTGTTTGTTTGATGACAGGAGATACTTCGTCTTGTCCTCGTTTACCACCAGACCCATGCGCTTTGCTTCCCTATCCAACTTGGAAAAGGCAGAACAGACTTCGCGGTTTTTGTTACCGATGATGTCGATGTCATCGGCATAAGCCAGCAATTGCACGCTCTTGTAGTAAATTGTTCCTGGGCGATTCAGTTCTGCAGCTCTTATTATCTTCTCCGACATCAGATTAAAGAAGTCACATGACAGGGAGTCGCCCTGTCTGAAACCCCGTTTTGTGGCGAACGGCTCGGAGAGGTCTTTTCCAATTCTGACGGAGCTGGTGGTATTGCTCAACGTCATTTTACACAGCCGTATGAGTTTTGAGGGGATGCCAAATTCAGACATAGCGGCGTATAGGCAACTTCTTTTAGTGCTGTCAAAAGCGGCTTTAAAGTCGACAAATAGGTGGTGAGTGTCGATCCTTTTCTCGCGGGTCTTTTCCAAGATTTGGCGTATCGTGAATACCTGGTCTATGGTGGATTTGCCAGGTCTAAAGCCACACTGATAAGGCCCAATCAGTTGATTGACGGTGGGCTTCAGTCTTTCACACAATACGCTCGATAAGACCTTGTAACCTATGCTTAGAAGGCTGATCCCGCGGTAGTTGGCGCGAATGGCGGGGTCACCTTTCTTGTGGATTGGGCAGAGCACACTTAAATTCCAGTCGTCGGGCATGCGTTCATCTGACCATATTCTGCACAAGAGTTGATGCATGCACCTTATCAACTCCTCGCCGCCGTACTTGAATAGCTCAGCTGCCAGGCTGTCAGCTCCAGCGGCTTTGTTGTTTTTCAGCCGCGTTATTGCTATACGTACCTCGTCATAGTCAGGCGGTGGAA